TTTTAAAAGATTTTTAAGAACCAAACCAGATCTCTCTGGCTGGACCTCCTATGACCATCTACGCTGGGTAGATAAAATGCTGTTGAGATATTGGGGTACAACATCTGGCAAGAACTTGTGAATTATAATTTTCTTTTACAACTGAAAACCGTATCCTGGTCGGTTCTCAGTGGGACTTCTTGCTGTCAGAGCATGAGGCCTGTTTTGATCGGTCACGGAGGGACACAGGCTTTCTGCTGATGCCATCCCCGCGACCGGCGCACCAACCCAGAAGCTACTAATTAAAGGTGGAAATTATCCAAGCACAGTTTCACTGCAAAACATGCGAAACTTATTAGAACTTAAAAGTAACTGCTGATTCTCAATACAGGCGAAGCTAAAGCAGGCAGGCGTCCCGTGAGGTCACCCAAGCAAAAATGTTTAAAGCACATTCAAGATGCTTCAGGTCTGTCTCGTCTGTATACAACGTGTCAACATAACAGAAAAATGTGCTAAACTTTTAAGATTACTGAAAGCAAGAGATGAAAAGGGTTTCACAGGGAAGCAGCCCATTTCCTCCACCAGCCTGAACTTCCATTCTGAGTCTTTGATCTGACAGATACTTCTATGTGTACTTACTGGAACAATTAGCTTACCATTTTCTCATCAGAAAACTGTTTGCTGATTTGGAAATGAAAGGGGAGATGGGACCCAGGGAGGATGGCCATTGGTCGTACGTTTCAACAGCTGTTTTATAATCCAAAATAGGACAGCAGGTTCATTTTAAATAAGTGTACAGTTTACTGAATTTTCACAAACTAAATCTACACATATAGCCAGCACCCAGACCCGTGTTTTTCAATCTCTTTTATCTCACGACACACTTGAACCTAGAGTTAAACTTCCACAGCACACTTAAATTGTGTTTATCCAAAAAAGAGTAAAAGAAAGAATATAGTCACTGGGCTTTGAGCCTGTTTCAAAAATAATTTAATCAATGGTCTTTTAAAATGTTCATGGCACACCTAAGGTCTTCTCACGGCACACCAGTTGAAAATCACTGACACAGACCAAGAAACAGAATATTACCAGCACTCTTAGAGTATTCTGCTCATAGTAGGCATTTAAATCTTGTGGTTTTAATAGACCTACTATGTGCAACGTAGTGGACATACTACTCAAGGGAGGTTCAAGAGAGGCAGAGAAGGCTGGACACAGTGGCTCACACCTGTAATCCTGGCACTTTGGGAAGCCAAGGCACCAGATCACTTGAGACTAGGAGTTCAAGACCAGCCAGGGCAACAGAGCAAGACTCTCATCTCTACAAAAAGAAAAAGAAGAAAATTAGCTGAGCCTTGTGATGTGTACCTAAAGCCCTAGATACTCAGGAGGCTGAGGCAGGAAGATGGCTTGAGGCCAGGGGTTTGAAGCTGCAGCGAGCTATGACAACCCCATTGTTCTCCAGGAACCTGTGCAACAAAGCAAGACCCTGACTCACAGGAAGGGAGGAAAGAAGGAAAAGAGATAGACAGACAGAGAAATAGGGAAAAACACTTCAATTAGAGAAATAGGGAAAAAACACTTCAATTAGAGAAATAGGGAAAAACCACTTCAGTTAGAGCTCTCTCCCTGGGAGATGCGCAAAGCTGAGGGTTATAAAAGTTGTGAATGTGCTGCGGTGTGGGGCTGAGACCCCAGGCTCTAGAATCAGATACCACTCCTATAACTTAACGGCAGGGAGGACTTTGGTGGCCCCGCCATCTTTATTCAGAAGCATCGGTCTTACTGGGTTACTGATAAGCTCAAGTAAGACCCCTACAGTTGCACGTGGGAGGTGCTAAACATGAAATAGTAATAAAAAATGGGGCTAATCATCGTTTGTCATTATTATTACTACAAGGGCCAAAAAGCTGATTCATTCATTGGAGAAGAAGCATCTTGGTTTCCTCTTCTGTTGAATATTAGTCTTCTCTCCTCTCGAGGGCTTTGGTATCCATCTCTTAACTTGTTTGAACCAAATTCAAACCAAAAGGCCAGTGATCCCCATTGGAGAGAGAAGCAGTGTGCTCCATCCCTTCTCTCTTCTGGATTCACTTAATCTAGGAACTTTAAACAAATGCCTTCTAAGATGTATTCATTACCATGTTTTCAAACTTTGGTGTCGCCTGTATCTCTGGCACCCCATACCCAAATATTCTCTTCTGGGGACAGGCCCAAGAATTGCATGTGGATCGGGGCTCAAGTAATTCTGACGTAGGTGGTCTCTAGGCCACCCTATCAGAAATGCAGACCTCAGAGGTCAGAAAGAGCGTCTGTTGAAACAGAAGAGTGTTCACTGATTTGATTTTCTATGCTTAGTAGACAGTATCCACAGCTGAGGCTCTCCAAACATTAAAGGAATTTCCCAAGGAACAAAAAATTCTCCAAGCGTGTGGGTCGCTGGTCTTCCCATCAGACAGATAATTTCCATATCATTAAAAATCCTAAGCTAATGAAATTAGTTGAGTCAAATCAGAGCAACTTTATAACTCATGAAAGCAAAAATAAGATTCCTGCTAATGTACACAAGTAACGTTTTCCTCATGATGGAATTCCATTTTGTGAGCATATATCTTTGCCCCTGGCATTCCTTATTTTTTTACATTTTCAGTTCCTTTTACTTTTTTCCTCTAAAAATAAGCCCATCAGCACCACAGCCTAATACCTTTCTGTAAAACATTCATTTCCTCGCGTAGACGCAGAGACACCTATGTCCACACTGGCGTGGGCGTGCTCAGTGACACGGGTGTGACCTGCTGAATTTGGGACTCCTCTGGCTTCACGTTTTCTTCCACTTTCTCCTCTTCCATTGTCATCTCCATCACCTTCTTTAGTATCTATGAATTATCTATTAATTATGTCCACATTTGCTTACAGTTTGTATCCCTTAACTAAGCTAAGTTACAGTCTTACATAAAAGCAATTTGGTATTGTCAGGTGAGATGACTGCCCAGGTTATAAATTCAGTTTTCTCCAGTTGAGCTCAGTGAGCAGTTATAAAGGACCTACTGTGTGCCTGATTCTGTTAGACTGGCAGGTTCTTTTCCCAGCTGATGGCAAAATGAAAGCCACATTATGGTAAAACTCAAGTTGGAACCAGGACAAGACAACGCTTATCTCAACCAAAAAAGCACCAGTGGCCTGTGTGAGCTGCAGAGAGATCACTCAGCCCCCAACACATTTGAATTTGCTTTTATGAAACATCATTTCAAGATCCGCTCATGGACCCCTCAGGTCCTCGCGCAGAGAGCATGCAGCTGTGACTTCCTCGCCTGCTCAGCCAGACCAGGCCTGTGGTCGGGCATCCTCAGCCTTGCCTGCCTTTCTAAGAAGACCGGGTGATTCATTTCTAAGAAAACATCTACTGGGAAAAGAAAGAAAAGATGTAGGCCTAGATAAAAATATACCAATATTGGTACTTGCCTTGAGGAAAAGTAGGGGTGATTCAGCATGATTTCTTTTAATGTTCTTCAAATTTTCTGTAATTAAAATATAACTTTTATAATCGGAAAAAGTAACTTTTAAAAAAATAATAATGAGAAGAGTGTCTGCCATCAGAACTGTGGTACAATTGTGCTGCTGCATTTGTGCTGTAATCAGAAATTCCTATTTATATTTTAAATGCATGCTGGGTTCAATAACATAGTTACTTTGAAAAAGGACCCTCGACAGAATATGCAATTACTTTTTTCTTAGAAGTCAAGATTTCAGGCATGAGTGAGATAGAAATGGTTTTATTTTCTCCTTCCCCCCTCAAGTTTTCTAAAACAAGCATGAATAACTTTTATAATTAGAAACATGCCAATAAATCTCACTATTTAACAGTGAGAGTCTAGTCTCACACAGATTTAGGCTTTGCCCTAATACATTTCTGCGGTCTAGGAATTTGCCTGGTTTTAGTGTGGGAGACAATTTCTTAAAATAACATTGGATAAATTCATTTGCTGTCATGATTTTGTAATTAGACACTTTGTAATTATTCGTAATTTTTAAGCTAATTTGGTGTTGGGATGAATAGAGTCCAGGAAACTATACAATTAACAAAATTCAGTCTCGTTTGGACCAGCCTCTTACATAAGCACGCGTCAGATTTACAACGTGGGACTATTAAAATGTCTCATTACCCAGCATTATCATAATCCTGGAAATGACAAAGCTTTAAGTGCGTAGATTCATCTCAAGACCACAGAGGAGGCTGAAAGAAGAAGCCTGTATTTATTGTGACCAGGTGTTCCTGGCCCCCTATCTCTAACAGCCACGACCGCATTGCTCCATCCCCAGAGCTCTGTGCAGGAAGGGATAAAAGCCTCATGCGTTTAAGAGGGCCTGGTAAATTCTTCACCCTGACTCTCAAAGTGTACCTCGTTCTAGGGTAGAACTTAGCAGCTTCCAACTAAAGGTGAGAAGTGCTGAGACTTCTAAAAACAGATGTTGAAGTCAATAAATTCCATCGACGTCTAACATCTCATCCTTCTGGTCCCAATAGGAGTGTCGGAAATCGAATTCATTCGAAGAAACAGACATGAAAAAGCAAATGATATAGAATGGGTAAATTCTAAGGTCGGCTGAGCTGACAGTCGTGGAATTCCTGTTTCCACTCAAAGGCAATCTTGGACATCGAAAACACAATTTAAGACATAACACTTTAACATTATACTAATCAGGAAAAGGAGAAAGACACACACCAGGCTGCTTTAATTTACAGGATCTGTATTCATAAGCGTAGATGAGATTATGCTTTAAATGACACGAAGGCCAATTGTCTCCTTCAATGGACGTGTGACTGAGAAGTACTTGTAATATTTTATTCCATTAGCAACTTTTTTCCATGAAGATAAAACATCTTTAACCAGCAAAGCTCAGCTCAGTGACCTGCCCAGTGAAGGGCAGGGGAGCAGCACCAAGACCCAGGCTGCTGGGTGCCCGGCAAGCTTGCCCACCTCGGGTCTGAAAGAGGCCCTCTCTCTAGTTCACTGTGGGACATGAATGGTGATGAAGCTTACTGGGTGAGGGCTGGCACTGGTCTGCTGCCAGCCCGGCTTGTGTTCAAACCCCAGGTCCCCTAAATAGTGTGCGACGTGCGGCGGCTGATTCTGTTCTTTCTGCCTCTATTGCCTTGATCATATAGAAGAGGATCAGAGCACTGCTGAGTCACACGGCTGTGGTGCGGGGACAGTGCTATTGTTCCTCCACAGTCCTTACGGCAATGCCTGATACACAGTCAGCCGTCTGTAGGTATTAACTGTGCCCACAGATGCGGTCAGTGTGAAGATACAAGTGGGAAAAAAATCAAGAAGCTTCCAAACAGCATAATGGTAATCATCTTAGAAAAATTAGAAATTACATGCATGGTTCTAAGATATGCAGTTGGGAGTTTTCTTTTTTTTTTTTTTTTTTTTGAGACAGAGCCTCAAGCTGTCCCCCTGGGTAGAGTGCCGTGGCATTACAGCTCACAGCAACCTCCAACTCCTGGGCTCAAGCGAGTCTCCTGCCTCTGCCTCCCAAGTAGCTGGGACCACAGGCGCCCGCCACAACGCCCGGCTATTTTTTGGTTGCAGCCGTCATTGTTGTTTGGCGGGTCCGGGCTGGGGATTCGAACCCGCCACCTTAGGTGTACGTGGCTGACGCCTTAGCCGGTTGAGCTATAGGCGCTGAGCCAGTTGGGAGTTTTCTTTTCTCTTATATCACATGTTTGGGTGAAACGCTCCAAAAAATGTGTATAAAGCCTTCTCTCTCATCATCCAAATGCTCTCATAAACAACGGCCCTTTTAGAGAAACAGCAGACACCACGAAACCTGCCCACCCATAAAAACAACAGCCCGAAACTTGTTCACAATTCACTTAGAACCCATTGTATTAAGAAGTGAATCTCTTGGCCAGGTGAGGGGGCTCACACCTGTGACCCCAAAACTCAGAGAGGCTGAGGCAGAAGGATCCCATGAACTCAGGAGTTTGAGACCAGCCTGAGCAAGAGCGAGACCCCATGTCTACTAAAAATAGAAACTAGCCAGGCTTAGTGGCTGGCGCCTATTGTCCCAGCTACTCAGGAAGCCAAAGCAGGAGGATCACTTAAGCCCAGGAGTTTGAGGTTGCTGTGAGCTGTGACGCCACAGCACTCTAACCAGGGTGACAGAGTGAGACTCTGTCCCAAAAAAAGAAAAGAAAAGAAAGAAGTGAGTCGCTTAGAGACCAAACCTCAATGGCATGCCTGTGTCCAAAATATGTTAAATCAGAGGTGGCCATTTGGGAACAGCACAGAAGAATAAGGAAGCTGCCTCGTGAGTAGAAGGTCGATGACAAAAGTCCATGCAGCCGATGCCTCACAGGCCTTTCCAACACCGGGACAGCAGTCACAGGACTGGGACGGGGACAGCGCACTGTTACCATTCACTCAACGTTTCTCCCTCTGCCAAGAATTTTTTAAAGGTCACATGACTATAATTCACAAGCCTCACAGAAAGTGAAAGATTTTCTCCAAACCCTTAACCACGCACCCAGCAGCACCTAAGTTTAACATAACCTGGGCACGAGAGCAAGTGGCACCGTGCCATCTGTCTGTCCTGCCACCCCAGTTCCCCAGGGGCTGGCGAGGACGCCCTGCAGCGCCTGACCACAGAGCTGGGAGCCGGCGGCTGGGAACGTTCTGCTCCCCACAGCAGCTCTGAGAGCTGGAGCACCACGAAGCAGCACGAGAGGCAGGGAGAGGCACCCTGCTGACCGTCCCTTTCTCAACGCAGCTGCTTAAAGAAAGAGGCAGATACCCTGAGCATCCACAGCCATGAGCTCGTGGACAGCCAGGACTGCCCCTTTCAATCTTCAGGTGGCCAGAGTCCAGCATACTTCGTTGCTACCCAAGAGGAAGCCAGCACCAGAGACAGCAGATGCAGACAGAGAGAGGGCTGGTTCCCAGGGCGCTAAGTGGGCAGGTGGGAGAAATCTCTCAAACCTCCTCCCCAAGAGTTTTCAAAGACAGTTTGGTGGGCAGAGGGTTAGGCAATCGGGGCCTGCTAACTGGCCAGTTTCAGGGAGGAACCATGAGTCCTTTGGTGTGGGCTGTGGTCAGGGTGGGTCAGTTACTGGAATGCAGTACCTGGAGACGTCTCAAAAACTAGCCCAGGACTCCAATGATGGTGTTTTCTGTGGAGAAAAGTTAAGAAAAAAAAATTTTTTTTGAGACAGAGTCTCACTCTGTCCCTGTGGGTAGACTTCCGTGGCGTCACAGCTCACAGCGATGCCAGACTCCTGGGCTCAGGTGATCCTCTTGCTTGAACCTCCCAAACAGCTGGGACCTCAGGTGCCCATCACAGCACCCAGAGCTGGGACCTCAGGTGCCCATCACAATACCCAGCACTGGGACACCTCAGGTGCCCATCACAACACCCAGCGCTGGGACCACAGGTGCCCATCACAGCACCCAGCGCTGGGACCACAGGTGCCCATCACAGCACCCAGCGCTGGGACCACAGGTGCCCATCACAGCACCCAGAGCTGGGACCTCAGGTGCCCATCACAGCACCCAGCGCTGGGACCTCAGGTGCCCATCACAGCACCCAGCGCTGGGACCTCAGGTGCCCATCACAGCACCCAGCGCTGGGACCACAGGTGCCCATCACAGCACCCAGCGCTGGGACCACAGGTGCCCATCACACCACCCAGCGCTGGGACCACAGGTGCCCCCATCAGAGCACCCAGCTAGTTTTCTATTTTTAGTAGAGACAGGGTCTTGCTCTGGCTCAGGCTGGTCTTGAACTCCTGAGCGCGGGCAATCCACCCACCTCGGCCTCCCAGAGTGCTGGGATTACATACGTGAGCCACTGTGCCAGGTCAAGAATCTTTACTGCACCAGCAGTGCACTCTGGAGCAGCAGTTACAGAGGAGCAAACAGAAGGACAAAGGCTATTGCCGAGCAAACCAGGGGACAGTGCGTGCTGTCGTTATTTCAGCTGAGCCTGCTCCTTCACAGAGTTTTAGGGGCTTGACTCTAGTCCCCCCCCCCCAGCAGCCCTTCATCAGTTCATAAGGGTGGCCTCCCTGTCAAGGAGGCACATCTCAGGCCATCGAGTCCAGTGATCCCGCCCCGCCTGGCAGGTGAGGAAGACAGGAAGACGTCACTGGCCTGAGGGTGAAGCCGAGACCTGGGGGCAAACACATGCAGGTTTCTTGGTTCCAACCGTGCCCAGCAGAAGAGCAGCTCTGCAGAGGCCCCACGGCAGGGAGGAGCTGGGTACAGTACGGGTGTCGGCTTTCACAATTAAATAGTTAACTACGGATTGGCAGTTTGGCGCCCTTTAGATACCATGTGAGCTGAACGCTGGAATACAGGGTGAGGCAGAACAGACCGACAGAAAGAGTTCACACACTGAACCATCGCACACACCACCGGCCGTGGTCTCCAACATTCTTTGTTATTATCCGTTCTGGAAGCAGCCTCGGAAGGGCTCACGGGCCCACCCCGGAGATCCCACCACCTCCCTCGGCTCTGCCCGCTCTCCCACCGCACAGATCCAGCCTGAGAGGGCAGGGAGGGGTGAGAGAGAGAAAGAATCCTACAGGCTCTGGTATTTTAAAAAGTCTTTTCCCAAACATCCATCTGATGATTACTTGAGCCTCCCAGCAAAGCAAAGCGGGGTGGCGGCCGGCCCACTGCGTCTCCCCCACACACTTCCTTCCCTGATGCCTCCACCCACCTTTAACTTAAAGTTCAGTATCTGCCAAAGTAAACAGGGACGCCTTAGAAAGGAAAAAAAGAAAAGAAGGGGAAGCAGAGAAAGAAACAAATCCCTGCAGGGCTTCTTGCAACTCGAGATTCACACAGCAAAGTTATCTGAGTGCCAACCTGACTCCTGGAGCTCTTCAAAATGCACAAACAACCCCTCACCCAGCTTAAGTGGCAGGAAAAGCCGCCCCGTGACTGCCGGTCAAGGTGTGTGGTCCAAGAGGGTCCATTAGAGGACAAAGCCCCAGCTCTTCTCTGTAAATTCTGGCCCCTCCATTGTTCTCCTCTCCAGGTGGACCTGCAACCCAGGTGGGCCCAGGAAAGCCGAGCCTGGTAAAGGGCAGGACACAGATACCCCCCAAGGCCAGGAGGAGGCCGCGCCCACGCACAGGGCTCAGCTTTGCTAAATTTACCCAGGAATTACGACAAAGCTGAATCACCATTCACTCAGTGTTTTCCTAATTTTGAATCCTAGAGTCTACTGTGACTAAAACAGTCTTGGTTTGGCACAGAAAAGGGGGTAAGTGCCCCCCAGCACACAGGGGCTTGTCCACAGCCACAAACCTTCACCAGGAGGCTGGGCAGGGATTAATCCTGCCCCCTCTCCACACCGTCACCCACAGTTTACAGCTGGAATAACCGGAAAGTTCACAGTGATCCTTAATTATGCTTTGAATTTTAAAGCAATCTGATTGTTCTGATCAAACAAAAAAGTTTTGACTTCAGCAAAATAAATAAATATTACCTGAAAGGAACTGAAAACCATGTCAGCTACAGGTCAAACTCTCTTTTCTCGGAGAGGTTCCCTCTCTGCCAACGGCACTCACAGCAGGAAAAATGGTGGGAAGGCCATGTTCACTCAGCTCCACAGGGCAGCCCCACAGTGCCCTGTGCTGGGTGCGGGGGAACGGCTTCAAAAGTGCATGGAGGATGGAGCTGGAGAACATTCTAGAACCCTGGGCCGACACACAGCTGCTCACACATTTACACAGTGCTTCTCCCAACTAGTTTCTCTCCAAAATAATTTTTTGTGTCCCAATCCCAAGGGAGGAAGAAGGAACCTGGGGAAGGGGGTCAGTGAGAAGCAGGTTCATTAGAAACACACATTCCATCATCTCCAGCCGCTCGCCTTGAGTTAGCCTGAAGTCTCTCTCCTTCTCCAGTCTTCACAAATAGAGCCGTGCTCCACTACTAGGGTTCAGCCACCCTCACTGTGAAGGATCCACACAGATCTGGAGGAACCTCAGACCCTGTAACTCTTGTCCATGTCACCCTCAGACCCTGTAACTACCGTCCACGTCACCCTC